TCTGAGCTTTCAGCTGAATTAAGTGTCTGCAGCTGAAATCAGTGGATGCAGCAGATACTCAGATCCTGTGAAGTTTTACATCTACCTGTTTCAAACAGGGCGGTCAGATGCTGAGCTGCCTTTGGAGCTAGTGGGCAAGTTTGAAAAGCCTGGCCCGTGGCAAGTAAGCGTAGACTGAGACAATAGTTGTTTCACTGGTTCCGGCAATCTTTTTCTCTGGTTTGGTGCTATCTGGTTTAGACTAGAGAAGAAAATGTGAAAATCCCAACATCCAGCTTCACTGTGAAAGCTACGCACATTTAGCTTTTTGATTCTTAAGAGGATACTAAAACATGTCTGCAAAAGCTGTTACTACAGATGTCTGTCATTAATTAAATACTTGAAGCAAACATGAAATCCATAACACAATATGATTTCTAAGAATGCAATTTAAAAAGGGCTCTGCGTTTGATCTAACCTGTTCCAAATAACATGAACAACTCAGTTTTGAGTTTGGCAGATGCAAAGTACTTTAAAAATATCCCATAGAAGATACCAATCAATAGTTCAAAAATACCCTATGTGTGGGCCTTCTGCATGCATTCTGTAAACATACTCAAGTAGCATTACCGCATGCTTTGTGTTAATACTTCAGTGTGGTTATTTGTTAATGTAGTTGCATGCAATATCATCATGTGAGGTTTTTCTGTCATTTGAACCTCCCCCTCGATATTTTTACAAGTGCTGTGATTTATCAGATCGTAAGAAAATGCCATTACATTCAGACATGTATAAGTGTTTACCTAAAGATCAAATTGATTCCTCAAACTGACATAAACCAGTCTATTGCAACAAGGTTTCTAGAGTCATTACAGTTTAGAGATGAGCTTTCATTGCAAAGCCTCAATCCATAAATAATCACTTTGATTTCAGTGCCTGTTCAGCACATGCAGCAGCATCAGAGGCCAGCCCTCATCCGGCAACTGAGTACGTGCACACGAGCTGATGGTGCAAAGTGCTGAGCACTCCTGTGAAGAATACAGGAGGTCAATGGATCAGACTTAGAGGTCATACATATTCATAAAGCCTTGCAGAGGAGGGACAGTCACAAGCTGGGGTTAGGAAAGCATTTTTTAATTGCATGAAATATAAAATAGAAGAATGACTCAAAAACTTGGTTTCAATTACCTGGCAGTGATAAAATCGCCTCTGGAGAGAGAGGGGAGTAACAAGAAGGGGGGGAGTAACAAGAAGGGGAAACGGGTTAGAGATGGTGATAAACCATTGCAGCACTCTAATTTGGCATCACCCCATAGATGCTGTGCAGTTGTAATCCTGAAATGTCTCTGAGTCTCTTCTGTGCTGAAATTGCTAGTCTCTACGTAAACATAAACTTCTTCCTTACTTAGTCCTGAGCAACCCTCTATTTGTGTGTTACCTTTCAGTTTATGTGAGTGGCAACCTCACCCATGCAGTCCGTGGGACGGCAGCACTCCTCTGCTCTCCCACAGCGCCATCACATGCAATGGCTGTTCTTTGCCCATCTTCCTTGCACACCTGGGCAAGTCAGGGAGGGCGGGAGGTCTTGACTTGGTGGGGCTCACAGGGAGCGCTGAGAACAGGACTCAGATTTCCTGTCTCTCACTCTCAGGCTCAATCTGCTACTGTTCAGCAGCCGCCTTATGTATCCTACCTCATGCCTGGTTGGAAGTACGAGTGGATTAATTTCCTCTTCAGGGTGTTAATGTGTTGTAGCCTCCTCACATGTTTCCTCTTGCTGCTTCAGACAAATGTACATGCTTGCCACTGAACATTTAAGAAACTCCATGAGGAGGTCAGATCAAAGCTGCATCTAATCCCGTCTTTTGCACTGACAGTGCTTGGTAGTGGGGGCCCAATGAGGACAATAAAGCCCAGGATGTTGAAGAAGTGCCCAGAAGTGCCAAGAGCTGCTGAGCCTGCCCTGTTAGAGTGAGGTGAGCTCAGTCACCGGCCACTCTCCTACACAGACCAGGCCAGAACTGGTGTCTAGTGTGGAGATATGCCACCATCCTCTATAAGTCTGTCTGCTTTCGTCTTTCCCTTGTGCAGTGTCTCGGTCAATGGTACAGGGTTAACAGGCCATAGGCTATCTAAAACAGGAGAGGACAGTTGGGACAATCTCCAAGAGTGTGCACGATCTCTTTGGATAGGTGTTGTAGCCTGCGTCCTGTACAGCAGAATTGCAGTGCTCGTGATGAACCGAGTCCTGAGTATCCCCTTGGGAGGCAGCATTCAGCCCCAGTGATTTGTTTCTAGGTTTACACAGACAGCTCTCCTTGTACTAATTACAGAATCACAGAATGGTTAGGGTTGGAAGGGACCTCTGGAGATCATCTAGTCCAACCCCTCAGGTGTGGACCTGTATCAGCAGATGAATGCAGTTTTGAGCAGTGCATCCCAGGATAAATCAAAAGCTGCCTACTTTGTCTTTTCTTTTTGGGGAGGCTAGGAGTTGCATTTGGTTTTCCTAACACAACTGCTGTGTTACTCGTCCACACGCTAAAGGAGAAGAGGTTTAGTGAACTGCCATCAGTATCAAATGCCCCTTGTCATTCTGACTCTGAAAAGTCAAGCAGTTACGATTTTTTTTTTTTTATTTGAAAGGTATAAAAATAAAGCTCCTGAACAGCTAATTCCTCTGGATAAGCACTGATTATCCTACACAACAGCACAGAGGATATTCTAGAAGAACTTGTGTGATGGCAGGGGCATCAAGCAAAATCTAAGCACATATGCCTTTGCTTTACAGCCTCTTCTCAAAGCTGCCTCCCTTCTCTCTTATCACTTTCCAGATTCAATTGCACTGCACCTTCTGCTCTGCCTTATCAATAAAGAGCTGTCATCACACATCGCTGTCAAAGCAAAAGAGCAAACTGTTGTCAGCAGATATGCATACAGCAGCCCACTTAGCTAAAATGACATTCCCAGTCAGTCCTTGATAAGAGAAAGTTGTGGGAATCAGTTATGAAACCCTTAATAGATAAACAGGAATATATATGCAAACAATGAATTAATAAAGCACTATTAAAAAAATTCCTGTAGCTGTTTCAGCATCTCTATTCTGTGGGAGAGAGTGAGGGGGTATGCTTTTTATTTTTTTAATGAGAATTTATTATTTTTATTTAACAAACTATAATTGGTGATTAGATGCAGTGATTACACTGTCTTACATGGAATTTTCCTTTGAGTGGTTGCTCAAAATAACAGACAGCTGCAGGAAAATTTAGGTTTGTACTGGTGAAACTGTCCACTTCTCACAGAGCTTCTTTCTCTGTGATCTGGGGGGTTGGAATTATTTATTTTTTTTATCCAGCTGATTGAGCTGGACTTTTCTTTTAATGCTGTTTATAGGAAATGTACTATTTGTCCCACTTTAACACATTCTAATAGCTACCCTGCCCATTGAATTCCTGATCACAGACCAACACAGTAGCCATCTAATTACACTTTCTGTCTTTCACTATTTAGGAAAAATATTAAAAATATCAGCAACCGAAAACTACCTCCTCAAAAATTTCTGTTCCTGTCTTTGATTGACATGTTCACCTTGAGCCAAATGTGTTTGACTGTAGCCGAATCAATCCATTCATCATGTGGCAGGGTACTGCCCCCAATACTGTTCTCCATTCATCCAATCAGGGAAAATTAAGATGGTGTATGTATATACATTTTAAGCAGCTACAAACACTGCTGTAATCTAAGGATTTACTCTGCTATCATGGAGGTCACTGAGGCTTTTGCTACTGTGTGCCATAACAGCAGGATCAAATCTTAGTCTCAATACTACAAGCATTATATAGACCATTTTTTTCCGGGAAAATGTTCCCTTCAGCATGGTCTGCAGGCATTAACTCCTATGAAGACTCTTCTTTATTTGCAATAAAGATCTGTGGCTTATTGTGTTCTGCAATGACATAATTCACATACAACATGTATGTGCATGCACATGCATGTATGTGTGTAGTACCTGATGGATGCATAATAGAATAATCTTTCTAATAGATATTGCAGTTTATACTGTATTTGCATTTTTTAAACATAAGAATATTGAAAACCCTCTCATCACATTTCAGGAAATGATATTTGGTCCTCTATGCCAACAAGGCTGTCCTGTACATTCTGTTGTTAGTAACTAAAATAAAAGCATAGCACTATTTTACAAAAAGAAAGATTAAAGTGCATAAGTACATAGATAGGTGCAGACCCTGCTAGGAGCTCCTTTGAAGCAGACATACTCTGTCCAAGATCAAGGATAGCTGGTTTAAACAGCAACAATTCTAGTGCAAATTACCGCTTCTGCTGGCAACACTTGGCCTTCCCGTATGTACATCATGTAATCCCATAGACGTCCATGTGCAACGTTCCTCTTAACATTGCACATGGTCTACAACCTATGAGCCCAAATAATTCAAGGTACCTTTGGAAGCAAAAATTTCCTTGACTGCCAACGAGTAAATATATTCAAAACAAAATGCATCCATTTTACATGCATCTATTTTCAGAGCTATGTTAAAAATGAACCTTGAAAAGACTTTTCAACAAAGAAACCAAAGGATAGGAAATCCACGTTGTAGGGCAAAGTGATGTCAGCATAGTGCGATGAGCTACTAAGCAGTTCCTTGGATGCATTGCTTGCCATTCTAATGTGCAATAATGATTATCTAGGTTTGTTCTTAATATATTTTTCTTTGTATAGCTGCGTATATATAGAGATATAGCTTGCATGGGATGAAGATTCTTCAGAAATGGTTATTTCATCTAGTTCAGGGCTTTGTCGGATTAGCCGCAGCTCATTTCGATCCTTTGAGTTTGAATTTATTTACAGTATTTTGTGCTTTTGAACTTTTCCTTTTTGAATAATGTCCGAGAGAATTCCCCTACTGATCTACAGCCATGATCTTTTGGAAAATGTGGTCATTTTGAGATGAGTAATAAAAGAGTTCTCTGTTTCCTAATACAATTTAATCAATTTGTGGATATTTTTATTACGGCTCTAGATTAAAAGCTCTTAACAGAATGTCTAGATCACCCACATTGGCAGCTTGAAATAGTTCTGGCTGGTCCATCATAGACAGAGCAATTCGAAGTGCTGCCCAAATATTGCCTGATAGAGCAGGATGGGGAACCTGTTGTTGATTCCTGCTCTTTCTTTGCAAACTGAGAGCAGTGAGAAAATTGCTGACAGCTTCTCTGTAGGGAAGAAGAAGAAAGAAACAAGCAATATAATTTGCTTAACAATCAGAGTAAAACTTTCTAAAGTTCTATGCTAGACTCAAGTATATTATTTTACAATGCAGTTCATCAGCCTCTTTGTGTTATTCTTGCTCGATTTTCTTTAAACAAGTGGACGTGGCTTGTAGTAATGCAGAACAGTCTATTCATACATGTGGGATATTGTCTTCATTGCTGTGTAGCTCCCCTTCATCTTAACTGTCTTGAGCTGACAGTTGGGACCCTGCAATATCACCCTTGATTCCTGAAGGATGTACTGAAAGTGTTTTTTATGGCATCAACTACTTGAAGCAGTTTAACTGAAGTTTCTCTTCTAAAGACAGGCTCTTATATTTTCTTTCATAAAGCTCGTAAGCACAGGACTAAGTTTATGTGTGAGAACAATCCTGATTATAATAAGAGTACTTGCACTTAGAGCTAAAATAATGCTTAAGCAGCTTGCTGAATGAGGGATTTATTTTCTTTTAATAGAAATTCAGTAGTTCTGTTATATAGGATTTGTGGCTATAAGAAAAGTATCATTGCTCTGTTACTACTTTGTAAAAAATAATTACAGATTTTACAATAGCTGAGATTACATAGCTATATTTGTTTGGGTTTTTGCCTGAGATAGCTCCAGCTAGAAAATGAGTTTTCACTTGGTAGTTATGATCCCTGACTTTTTTGTTTACACATTTTTGTAACTTACCTATATGCCCCTAGGTTGATGCAGCTTATCCCTAAATTGTATCTGGACCTAATGAAGCCAGGTTGTATTTCTAAAGCACGTGTGTAGGCCTCGACAGCTTCTTCACTTCGATCCCCATTTGCCAAGGTTGCTCCAAGACGGTTCCATAATGTGTAGTCCTGGTGAGAAAATGAGTTTTCTACTGTAGGTGTCAAAAAGGGACAAAATAGCTCATTTCCACTTGCAAAGGAAGGAGAACTACAGAAAATAACAGTATTGTACTTCTTTTAATTGACATGGAATGTGAGGTTCTGACTGATGATTACAGGCAACTTTATATAACTAGTACAATTAATCAGCACACAGCTAGAAATTGGACAGGTATAAATCTGCTTCTAAATGGGACTGTCTTGTAATTAACATTTCTATTTCAGGTATTAAAATTTTAATGGCTGAAGTGACATCTCATTAATATTAGTCTGATCAAGAGGGGAGAAAGCCTGTAAAGCTAAATTCTAAAAATGTAAAAGCATAAAATGTACCTCTGGTCGAACAGTTAAAGCAGCACTAAATGCATCTATTGCTCTGTTAAATTCTCCATTCAGGTGGAAAAGAACTCCAAGTCCCGTCTGCAAGTCAGGGTCTATCATATCACCATTCTGGTGAGCAGCCTCCAGGTACAAATCCTTTACTTCTTCAAGTAATGAGCTAGACAAGGGTGAAAAATAACTTGAAGTTCCATCTTACAGTTCTTTACAAATATTGCAATATTGATTGTATAGCCAGAAATTAAAACCCTTGTAGCGCATTTATCAGAAGTGATATACTCCTAACGTTTGAAAATAAGCTGCTTCAGCTCCATCATGGCAAATATTTCCTTCCAGATGCTGTTGTAAACTCATGTCTGGAATAAAAAAGTTCACCTATATAATGAAGTCAAAGTGAGATAACATGAAGCCTTATTAAAACTATTAAAATTAGGTGAGTTTCTCACATGTAAAAGAGTGCTTTACTGGCAAAAATTGTAGTAATTCTTAAGAGGAATAGATCAAGCGACTAGCCAACACCCCTGAAGAAAGATGCCACAATTTAAGATTTCTGTACCCAACTGTAGGCTTCATAAAACCTTTGCACTGACAACACCAGAGGTCAGCGGGATGAAGCCAAAGTGGAATAATACACTTAGCAATTAAGCAGGACTTGCGTATTTTATTTTTGCTTATACTAAATTATCTTGTCAACCCAGGGCAAGGCCTGTCAACCCAGACATAAGGCCTGTCTTCAAAATGACAAGCAGTGAGATAGCCCTAGTGCTCTAGTTCTATAAATCATGTTTATGCCTTTAATGACTTTATCATGCATCTTGCAATTCAGAGACACTTAGTTATCGACCTCTTGAAATCATGATGAAGGGCTGCCAACTCAGGAATTTTTTTGTTATTTAAAATGGCTGCCAGCTCCCATTACAGTATGCTAGGCTGAAGTCAAATAAAATGACTACACTATCTCTTTGTTTAGTAACAGAATGGCTTTTAAACAAGCAGATGCTGCCTCCCAGTATTTTCAGTGAACTGGACCCATGTCCCGCTGCAAAATGGCAGTCATTCCTGGATTCTAGTGGCTTGGTTGGGGTATAGGAAATACGATGAACATAGGAAGAACACACATGAGCAGAGCAGGATACAGGCCCGGTATGGATTTGGAAGCAGCTGAAGTTATGAGGATGTGGGAATACAGAGGCAGCAGACAGGGTCAGAGGAAAGCAATGGGACTTGAGGGGAAACATCTCTTTTTAGCTGTTTTATTTTTATTTTTTTTTACTTCCAGAGCTGTATAACATATAGCCTTCAGTTGCTAAACCAAATACCCTGTGTTGGCTTCCAATTCCTGCCACTAGAGCCATTGAGTCTTCCACCATAGGGAGCAGGCTGGACTTCTAGACAGTAAGGGGCACAGCATGCACCATCATTCGTAGTGATGTCGTTAAATTTTCCACCATCAGGATTTACACTTCATTTACCTTTCATCTGATGTCTTAGACATTCTCCTGGTAAGTGCTGGGGACCCTTTTTTGCTTTTCACTATATACTTATATTTTGGATTTTGCTTTATCCAGTTTCTTAGAGCTTGATAGGCTTCTTGTTGATGGCCAGTGTTAGTATAACTTACAGCCAGGGCCATCAGAGCTTTTAAGTTGTTTGGCTGTAGTTCCAAGCACCTGGGCAGAAAATAAAAATATATTGAGGTATGTTTTTAGCCAAACACAATTCTTTAATTCTTCCCAAATAATCTGTGTAAAAAAAAAATCACTCACAGAAGTAAGATCTACCCAATAATACTTTTAAAGAAGGGACTTTGTCTTATTTTTTTGTGGTAAGTGCATTATGCATATATATACACATTGCTGTGCATACATACATATGTACATAAATGTAAGCATACAAGTTTTGTTTTCATCCTTCTGGTTATGAGTAAATGTAGGTAGATTCATTTTTATAGTATCTGTCTAGTAAAGAAAGAGAAGCTTTATGTGAACAGTTTAATATGGTTTGCCGCTATACAAAAACGTATTTTGAAGACAAGATTTCTTTTTGTGAACATCACTGTTGCTTCTTTCAAAACTGTGGGAATGAGCAAGCCCTAAATCAGGAAGCCCCTTGGATTTCTGTCCAGGTAAGCTAATAAATTACATATGAATAAGTTAGAGTATCCTGAGGTGAAATGACTTAATGGTTAACATTGCCAATGCAATTGAACATGGAGAGGGTACTTGCTTCAAACAGAAACATGGAAACCCACTACAGAAAGATAGTAATAATAATAATAATAATGCTGATATTTTGGAACTGACATTTTACATAGAAGCATACTGCGATCTTCACATCTCTAGCAACCTGAAAATGTTGTCAGTTTAGTATTCAGCAGCTGAAAGGAGCTTGTTCCAATTAAGAAAACCTCTTCATTAAAGGACAGGCTACAGAAAATATGCTAAGTGGCTAGAATATCAAAAAGGCACTTGATTTGCATTATATCTAATTTATGTTTATCAGGCCATGTAACTTTTCTTTTGTGAAACTACTTAAATTACTAGATTAAATATTGCACTTATTTAACAAAACAGCAATATTAATCACTAGGCATTCCTCTGAAGTCACTGGGAAGATTTCTATATCTATGTCAATGCTTTAGTTAGTTAAATAAATGCTTTATGTTACAAGATAAGTAGGTTGTTAAATATACCTAGACCTCCATTACCTAATACTCATCAGACCCCTTATTTAGCAATTATCTTCATCTACCTTTGGAGGGCGACAATGGCTGCCTGCTCATTTTCATTCTCTGCCTGTGTTATACCCAGGAACTGCCAGGCCTGCAAAAATAATCATAATTGTGTTATTTTGTTACATATACCCAACTGCAAGCAGAGTTACAACTAATACCACTGTTAAGCAGCGGGGGGAATAAAAATAGCAGATCTTTCCAGCACTAACTACAGGTTTTTCTATGGTGTGCGTACCAACAGTACAAATCAATGCATTTTGAATATCTTTGGGCGGGCCTGATAATATTTATTATCAATGAAAGCAAAGGTATTTTTTCAGTGTATGATCACATGCTGATTACTTAAATTTGAGTTACCATACATTTTAAATACTGCTAGAATTTTACAGAAAATGGTGAAGAACAATTATTAAGTTGCATATTTTTAAGGCGTTCCAGAGGGTCTGGGGATTCTCTCTGCTTTTTGAAATACTGCTGCTTAATTTAATGTACCAGAAGAAAAAGTTGAAATATTGTCTCTTTTGAATGCTTTTAAATGACAACTTGGAAATGCTGCAATTTCAAAAACAGTTTCTCATCTTATGAAGAGGAGTTCACCTTTATCTATTTCAAGGCATGTACTATTTCAAAACCACCATTAGCATTCAATCTGTCTCAGTCAGTCATGACCAGCAAAGGTTTGGGCCCCAAAATCATTCCATCATTGCATGCTAAAGGGAGTCCCCTTTTCCTTTACCAGTAAAAGGCACATGATTAAAAATACCTCTGCATCATTGGGTTCTTGAAGAATAGCAGCCTCCAGGTATAAGATTGTAACTGGCAAGTCACCTTCTTTCATTTTTTTCAGTCCTTCCTCAAAAGCACCAGGCCAGTCTTTGAAGGGATTCTCAGTATGGAAATAATAACCCTGGAGAAGAGAGATAATGGACTCATGATGAAGCACTGTAGCAAGGGATGGCAACTCTATAAAATTAAATGACTCGCTGTTTTCCAACTGGATGTAAACATCCTTTGTTCTATGAAAATAGTATGAGATTCCCCATGAAATTTTGATGACAAAAAGTGTAAAAAGTGAGCATCACTGGACATTTATGTTTCTGCTTTCTATTTTTACTTTAGCTCTGGAGTTATACTTACTGGTACTCATGTTGGGCTCCCATCAAAGATAATGGCAACAACTCACACTGACTGCGATAACAGCAGAACTGAACCTAGTGTGAGCCCAGTACATCCAATTTGATGGTAAAGAGCACACATCAAGCAGCTGACTCCCTGCAGTGCTTGTAACCCGATGTCTCTTCAGTTAATAGCCTGAAATCTTCAATTAACCTTCAAGGTACAGAACAGTGCTGCAAGCACCTGAGTTTATTTTAGTATTTCTTTAAATTTTGCCTTTTTCTTTTCCTGCCACTGCAGTGTAAAGGGTGTATGCTAATATCAGCTACATAATATAAATCAAATTAAACCATACAATGGAGGGGATGAAGAAGAGAGACAGAATCTCTACAATTTCTATCCTCAACAGTGTTTGAATGTGCCAGCCCGGATTTTTTTATTTGGTACTCTTCCTTAAGTGCCTGTCTTCAGAAGTGCCCATAATCCATCAGTTTACTTTGTGATCCTTTCAGCTGAATTCAGGCAGTGTGCAAGTCTAAATGTATTCTCACTATGGTAAGGTCTTTCAAATCTACCCCACTCACAGACAGTTAAAGAGGATGAGCTCTTTTGGGTAAAATTAGCTTCCATGTCCAAAGAGTTTTCTTGGGTTCCCTTGAATAGCTGAAGCTCATCTCGAAGTTTCACATGAAGGATGTACTGTATTAAAAAACTTTGTTTTACCTTCTCAATGGTTGAGATGGTGACTTGCCCTGGTGCTTCCTGGTTTTCTGAAATCCAGTTTCTGCGAGCCATTTCTTCCCATTCTGCTTGCATTTTATCCCAAAACTCTGTGTCTGACTAGAAGAGAGGAAAAAAGGGAAGAACAATGAACAACAAAACTTTAAAATAAAATGTTAAGCTTTTAATTTCTTTCTATGAGTGGTCTGAGTCTGGCAATTTTGCTGAGCAGTATTAATTCTATTAATAATCTTACTGACTGAAATACTAGAGCAGAAATTTGGAATTCCATATAATTAAATTTCATCTCTTGTATTGGAATGCATTTCGTCAACAGAAAACTCTTTATCTCAGAGGCAGCGTATGTTCTATTTGAAGCAGGATTTGCAGCAGCTTACACTGCATCTTACTGATGCTAACAGCAAATTGTTATATAAAATTTAAAGGAAATGAATGCTGTTAGTCCCTGCACCCCCCTGCAGAAAAAAAGAAAGAAAAAAAGAAAAAATCAACTAAGCATACATGCTAAAGAATAACAATAGATAAAACAGTTTAAAAGAGAGCAAGCATCCCAGTGGTATGTTCAGAATCATTTTCCACTATGTAAAACGGTAATGGCAAGGCTTAGACAGAGAGCGGTTGCACAAGAGAATTAATACAAATGGGGCTTTTTGACATAGCAGAGAAACCTTAATATTGATCATCTGCTGTGTTGGTGAGAGGAATCTATAAGAGATTATAAAATTGTACTGTAAGATTAACATTCTGTTCAAAGACAAGAGGGAAAAATGCATATACAAGAGAAAAAGAAATGATGAAAAAAGAATGAGATTTAGGATGTGTAACAACTAGAATGAGGGAACCACTGCGGCTACTAGAAAATGATGCCAAGAAATAGAAATAGGATTAAAAAAAAAAGAGGGGAGAATCCAAGTTAAGGTGCTATTTTTTCAGCCTCCATGCATTAGTCATAAGCCCTGAAAAGCAGTTCCAAAGCAGGAAATATGCTCAGCACCACACGCCTTTGCAAAGTTCTCCAGTGCCTACAAGGCCACGGCCAGAACTTCAGTGAACTGACACTACTGAGGGCACAGTTTCTCAGCTTAATTATGTCAAAGACAACAGCACAAATAATTCTATTGAGGTTTAGACAGAACTATTTGAGAGTCAGGTGCTAATCAAAATTAATTGAAGGTAGTATAAACCCATCCAGATAGTTTTGTCTGAATCTTCATTACAAGACTGACCGCTTTGCCACTGCTCCACAGCCAGCCATGATTTGCTTAGTCTGTGATTGCATGACTTGCTACCACCCTCCTTAGGTACTTGGGAAAAGGAAAGCACAGGCTATTACCATATCTAGAATGAGTCAGGAACATTTGAGACTAGGTATTAGTCTCAAATGTATCCTAATTAGCATCCTTATCCTAATTAGTATCCTAATTTGAGATTAGGAGGATTTGCACTGGCTAACATCAGGCGTGGTTGCTGTAAATCATAAGGCTCTACAAATGGCAAGGTGCAGTCCCTCTCTAGAAATCTAACAGGCATTTCCCTTTGGCTCTCATTGTAGCACATGCCTCTTGATATCCAGCACTTCCTTCTAGGATACTCAGAATTTTCTGAATTATGCAATTATTGGATCTGTGAAGGTGCCTGCTATGTTCCTCTGTGGACTTGGAAACAAATGTGAATCATTTACTCCTGGAGAGGAGATTTCACTCTCTGTAATAGAAGTGAACAGAACTTGACAAGTCTGTTACACAACAACTTCCAAGGTTTCCAAATTTGCTTTCATTCCGAATTTGAAGGAAATACAGTCTTTTAAATAGCTGTGAGATTGTGCTGAAATGTCCGTTTAGGGTTTGAAAAAGATAATGAATCAGATCATTCCCTCTTTTACTCTTATCAGCCATGACCACAGGTGCCTGAATCGCTTCAACTATCCTGTTCAACAGATGTCTCTATCAACTGTTTTGCATTCAGTGCAAACCTGCGCTGCATTGGAGAAGAAATTACTTGAGCATGTTTTCACTAGCAGTAATTTTGAGATTCAGGGTGAGGTAAAAAAGTGGTAATTTCCCTTTCCCACAGATTAATATTAATAAAACTACTGAAAAGTAATTAGTAATTCCTTTTGAAACAGATTAACTTAGAGAAATAGTTATATATAGATGCATATATGTATGATGTTTATATTAGAATTTTTGTCTGTCCCACAAAAATCCCTTATGAACCAATGGTTTGGAAACAAATCACATTTCTGTAGATTGCAAGCAAGCATATAAGTGGTTTTAGGTCTTAAGTTCAAATTCTGCTGCTTAATTACATATGTAGAATTCACACATAAATTCACTGTGTGCATACTCCACTTAAAAAGCTAATGAATTTCTATGCATTCAAGTAGCTATGCTTAATGTCTATCTACAGCGAGTCAAAGGTGGAGGAAAAATGTAATGGAGAGAAGACCTGTTTTGCTAGAAAGTCTCTCAACTCATCATATACTACTTGGACATGGGCCAGGACCCAACTGTTATTTTGCAATTATAAGCAAAGATGTGCTTGTTTGGGCCAAATGGGCTTAAGTCCCAGCCACAGCTTTCTAAGCACACCCAGCATGTGGGGGTTCTGAAACTGGTATGGCAAAGCTGCACTGAGCAACTGGGCCACACACAATTACAGCACCTGATAAAATGCTATAATATTGCTGTGACAAATAACAACGCCAATAGCAGAGCAGTATAATGTCCTTGAGGAAGAGAACTGTAAATATTACACAGTCTTTGTTAAAGGCCCAAGTCTATTTCAGCTGTCATTAGTAGTAATTTTTTCATTGACTTCAGTGGCAGGAGGGTTAAATTAATATTGAGTGTTTCTGAAAATCTGGCTTTGGATCAAGACTCCTAGATCTAATTTTAAATCTATTTGCTATGTGACTGGTGCCAATTACTTCATTTCAATGTTTTTGCTACCTCAGTGCTGGCAAATTACTTTGGACATACCAAAAGTTTTCAGACCAGTTGAACACATTTAACACGTTCTCAGATCTGCAACAGTTAAGTGGAATGACAACTAGGAAAAATGTTCGTACCATCTGACTGCTTCCAAGCACAATATTCTTCATTTTGTCAAAGAGGCTATTTTTACTCTTAGTATTTAAAAATATGCTGAAGCAGTTAAACAAATGGGAGGCAAAATATTTCCAGGTTCTTTACTTCCTATCATACAGTGAAAACAGGTGGGGTGGGGAGTGTAGTCTCTGAATATTGCTGGTTAATTTCTAAACTTACCTATTTTCATAATTTTAAGAGTAGAATTTTGCGTGTCCTCTACTGCCAAAAATTAATTGGCAATGTTTCTTCTTGACCAGTCCATAAGACAGAAAGATTCTGTGGTTATTCTTTCTTTGAATTACATACCAACACACTCTTCACTGAAAGACACAGTAAGTTAAACTTACGTGCAAACTACTTAAGATTTCCTTAGCTGATATCCTCTCAAAACAAAATTTGAAGTATGCCTTTTTTAGTAAAGTTTAGAGATAAAAAATGTATATCAAGGCAAAGATTTATATTGTGATTTGAGAGAGTACCAAATAAAATGCATCTGAATGACGTAAGCTCCTAGATCCCACTTTAAAATGTGGCTTACACAGTCTTAGGCACATCCAAAAGGGATGTCGAAATAGTGAGACAGGAATACCAAAGGTACAGAAAGGATTCTAACTGGTATTCACGGGAACCACAAAGATTCTGGACTATGTTTGCCTAGGCTAGAATAAATTCATCCCATCTTCTTCCTACTATTGTCACATAATTTAGCTGTGGTATGTTCTGATGCTTCATAACAGTATATTATACAGCAGATGGCTCATGTGACATGGTGTTGTAAATAAAATGAGGCTGAGAAGGACAGCTTAAAATTTCTTTTGCATAAGCTCACAAAACAGTGTGGCATCTGCAGTTTAATCTCTACATCAGGGAAATGTGGCATAAGAAAATATCAAAATTGCTTTTTTTCCATCTCTGAGACATTTCTCAGTTTTAAGTTTTTTCACTTTCTTGGTTTCATTTTTATTTATTCTAACTGATTACCAATGATGGATGATAAAACAATCATTTTAACAGAATATAGGTACAGGATGGATCTGAATATCCATGCTGACATTTTTAAAAAATTCAAAACTACCCATTTTTGGTAAAACACAGCTAATTATTAGAAAGATTACATTAAAACATATTTGGTATGGCACTTAGAAATCATGAAGACTTTAGGCTATTTGTGCTTCCGTCACGTGCATAGCAAAGGGATGAGGCAAAAATCAAATCCAGTTTTCAAGAATGACATAAAAAGTAGTGAAGTCTGGAAGCAACCGATCACTGCAAGTGAATCTGGACCCTCTCTAGTAAAAAAACTAATTTACTTACCTCTTTATTCTTAAAAGATTCCCCAATGGCATAGACATCTTTAAACCTTCTTAAGAAAGAATTACCTCATGGATCTTCATTAATCTCAAAGTCTGACATCTTAAAACCATTCCCAAAGCTCTAATGTGAATACTGGGTAGAGGATAAAGTTTGGTGTCTTCATTTACTGAATTGTTAATTAATTCCTTTCGAACTAGGCCACAAAGAACCTGAGATTTGCTTCCTTTTCTTGATCAGTTTTCTGGCTAATCTTACCACTTGAGCTTTCCCAGTTGAAGAATATTACAGAAACATCCAAAGCCTAAAAGATGAATTTTTGAACTGTATCTATTCTCCACTTAAGAAAGCACTAATCTTTCTGAGATGGGCTGAAATTCATTTCAATCACGCTAGCTTTCTTACCACTTCATTTTAGCTAAGATGAAAATGCAACTCTTTTCATATGCAAATAGAAATAACTGCCCTATAGGTTCTTGAAGAATGCTTTCCTTTACATTTTAACTACCTGGTCCAAGTTTCTATTTTAAGCAGAAAGAATAAGACTGCCAGCTACAGAGTTAGGGAAACATTTAATTAGATTCTTTTTCATAGCTGTTTTTGAGACTGCATTAAAGCATTTTAACAATTTTTCTTTGTTGCCTCAGAATAACCTTTTAATGTGCAGGTTAGTTTTTTTACAATATCTTATCTTCTATAATGTCTTGTAATCTGTTGTTGGCCTCAACTCATTTTTCTTTCTGCGGAATGTTTGGGAACTCCCCATCACACACGTTTCTGGCAATTGCAAGAGTACTGACACCATTTGCTTAACCACTAACCGTAACGCAGAGATGTTCGTCATCAGCTTCCCTGTGTCGCAATCACAGATTACAGCACAACACGTCCCACCTTAAGGATCAGTCTGCAGTGCAATTAGGAACATCTAGAGCATCTTAAGCAGTGGCAATTTGAAAGCAAGTCTCTCCTTTCCTGCCAGGAACAAATGTGTATGATGTGTGACATCAAAAAATCTATTGTGCGTCACCAGCAGCTGTTTATAAAGAATCTATTTGATCAGGAAAAAACAGTGCACTCAGAAAATACAAGAAAAATGCATTCAATGTATAGTTCAGCTAAGTTACTGATCGTGTCCATTTTAGCCTTTTATGCTGAGACAAGAACTTTTTTGTGTGCAATAAGATCCTATGAAACCATGGTAGAAACCATGTGGTCTTACCTTACCATATAATGAAAAAACCCTACAAGTCAAATTAATTTCTTAAATACGAAATTCTGTTTCTAGCTAGAAGCCAACATATGATTTAGCCTTAGTTTTATTTGTAATCAACCAATATTAATTTAGAATAGTTCAACTGCCAGCACTGGAATTACAATGGCATAAATCTTGAGTTAAGAGTATTAAAATACAGACACATTTTAATCTAAACCCAAATATCCCTAAAGTGTTCTAGATGTTTGGAGACTGAGACTGCAGTTCATGCTAAAATAATCTGTTTTGAGGAACTGGTTTCACAGCCTCATCCTTTCCACCCTAAAAACTCATTTCAGTGACTGTTACATAGTTCATCCTGAACTTTTGGCCTTGGTGGGATGTGGCTGCCTTGGCTCTTTGTGTCGAAGGGATTTTGAAGGGTTACCAACTGAATCCCGGAGAAGACGCGATGTTCAAGATTGATGCCTATATCTAATTTTTTTATTGGATTCCATTAAAAAAATATGTATCCTACCTCATCTCTAGACAGGACCAGGATTTCAACTGGGACTAGTGATATAGGACAACACTTAAGAGACATTTTTCATATTGGAAAAGTAGTAGTTAGTGAAAAAAACAGAAGTGCAATAGGAGAACTATCCAAATACCTGCACCTTTTCAAACTAAATTGATTTGTCAGGAAGTGAGTGTACTTCTGTGTTTAACATCCTGCCACTAATTATAAAAAAACATTGGTGCATGGTTACTGCTATACGTGCAGTTACCCATTACAGCAGGTAATCATTCTGTTTACCAATGATTCTGAATTCCATTTTCACTGTGGATAGCTGGTTTGTGTCTAAGCTTAAATAACCTATTGCACACATTCATTTGCTGGGGAAAAAACTGTCTCACTCTTATACTTTAAGTTTGGAAGTACTTACACTTATGGGGAATTTTTCTTGACCCACTTGCTACAGCAATAAAAATTGAGCTTGAAAAGTTGGTTCTGTCTAATCTTCATTTATAGCAAAGGTTATTATTTTTTTTTTTTTTAAGACAGAAACTGCTATTTTAAATGAGTAACTCCAGGAAATGTATCTTTTCCCTGCTTTAAATAATCCAGTTCCAACTTTCTCTTATACTTGTGCTGCAAGATGAATAAGAAATCCGTAGAACATCAGCTGAAAATGAAACTAGTAAATGAAGTAATACCTCAACAGCTGCCTTTGCTCTTTCAAATTCCTCCTCCAAGGAGTGATTTCTGGAGAGAAGAGGCCCTCCCCAACGCTGCTCCTTAGTCGATCGTGCCTAAAAAATAGAAGAATAAATCAGAAAGGGATGATATACTCTCTGCCACATTTCTGAGTTATTTCCTTAATTGACTAGAGCCCCAAATGGCCTTTTTCTTGGGCAAAGCTAGTTGTGTCCCTGCATGAATTCCTCTGAATTCTCTTATACTGTAGCAGAGATCATTCCTCATGGGAAGCAGAGTAATTTATCTTTTCCAGACTTTTCTTTTCACTCAAGATGTGTGAAAGATTAAGAGACATCCAAGAAAAGACAATGCAAGAGTTGGACTACGAAGGGAAGAGAGCTGACTATTTTGTATAAGTCTTTTACCTTAATTGTTCCTTCTCCTGTATTATAACTGTGGCAATGCATTCCACTCACTACGCTCCAGGAGGAAAGCATCTCATTTTCCCTGTACATTTTGTGTTTTTCTTTCAGGTTCTGTTTTGGGATCACATTGGGGAACCAAGTTTGCTATGGGTTTCACTGGAAGGACAAATCCTTTTTATAATCAGCAGCTCTCTCTTCTGTGCCTTACTATCAGTCGATCCCATTTGGAAGTACATAACAAGTTTCTCCCTGTTCTTTTATTAAAAACTTTTTTTTTTTTTTAAGCACAAAAGGCACAGTACAAAACCAAACAGTATTCAATGATGGCATTGAAAAGCACAAAGTGGCCTAATCTTGCTAAAGAGAGCTCTGACTGCTAATCCCTTCCCTTGAGTTTGTAAGAGGTTAAACTCATTAGCCATTTGCCTGACCATAGCCCCAACTGCATTAATTTACATGACCATATTTCTGATGACTGTACTTGTAATATTCAGTTTCAATGAACCACAGTGCTAAAAGACTAATTTTGCTCACTTCAGACTCATTGGGCTGTATTCTGCAAATGTTGGAATGTGCGCGGCTGGGATGAAATATCCAATACATTCCTGGGTTTTCATATAAGTGATGTGCAATGCATGGTCAAACACGTATGTCTGTGTGTGTACACACATAGGTTTTTACCTAGAGAGATGACATTCATTTGTCAGTCTATCCCTGAAGTTTCTGGGGTTTTTTTCCTGAATCTTCAGTGTCTCAAGTAGAGATTACGAGTGAAATGTATATTGGGTTGATGATACACATATGGGTAGAAAAGAACGATACAGCACAATTTCTGTGAGAACCACGTGGTACGAGGGGGTGTTCTGTGCATTCCTTTGTGTTGGCTTCTGGACTTTGCTACAAGTGACAGGAAGCACAGAGTGTGAGGGAAGGTCTACACTGAGGATCTGTTGTTTTTCTTTTCACACCTACTAACTCTGCTCCATGTTGGTTGGAAATTTTTTTTTCCTTTGGTGAGGCCAGGAAGAGATTTCAGGTTGTTATGGACAGTGTACCAAAAACCATTCCTATACACTAAACCGTTAGTTTATTGATTAATAGAACTTAGGGCAGAAGAAAGAACTGGCTCAAATAATCCATTTCATATCACATGATGGTATTTGTCACTCAACACCCACAGGATGAAACTGACGTTCCATAGAAAATAAATTGAGGTTGTCTGGAATATATGTCTTTGAGAAAGGTACTTGGATTTAATTTGAAGTTATCAAGAGACCTTAATCTTATCACTTTGTTTGCAAATTTGTTTAATGACCCTCCTTGCTTCTCTTATTAATTTTAATTTCTGTTTCCAACTATTACTTCTTATTCTTTTTCCAGTAGTTAAAGTGCTTTTTAGTGCCCCTTGTTTTCTCTGTGGAAAGATACCGATGACTTTAATGAGGTTTTAATGGTCTTTTAAATGATATACAGAGATTGAGATCTTAAATTCTGTCATTATAAGGCATTTTATTCACATTTCAACCTTTTTTTGTGTCTCTTTTACTCTCCCTCTTTATTTTTATAGCTTTGGTTTTTTTATAGCCATACAGTCAACCAAAGTGAACTCTATATTCCAGTACTTGTGTTGCCATTTCTCTATACAGAAATCAGGTGACCTCCTGAGGTCTCCCACTAATTATGTCTGCTTCTACAAGCTATTCTTGCCACAGTACTGCACAGGGAGCACTCATGCTGACATCCTCGTACACTCTGAACCATAGATTCTTTTCAAATTGCCTTCCAGCATAGTGTTGTAAGTAGAGCCTGCATTCTTGTTCTGAAATGTATGATTTTTCAAGCGACTGTATTGGAATATGTATTCGTACATATATGTTGGTCACCAGCTCATTTTTATGACTATTTTGTTTACATATTTTTTTATTCCACTGTTGCATCATATGCAAATTTTATTGGGAATGGCTTGTATATTCATTTTCAGATCAATAAAATTGAAGATTTCTCTTTGGTGTCTCTTTGGAATCACAGAAGAACCCCCATGTGATTACAATTCCCATTAAATAACTCCTGTACTTGAGGACTTAAGTTAATCAGTTTTAATCTGTTTAACAGCTGATTTATTCATATTGTATGGTGCTAATTTTAAAATCAGAATATGGTATATTAGTTCAAACATCTTGCAGAATATCGCACAGCAACATTTATCAATCCGACCTTGTTATCTGATCAAAGAATTAAATTTGGTTTTCTTGACACAAAACTCTGTTGATAGACATTAATTATGTTCCTAGCCTTTTCATTATTTATGAGTTGGCTCTTGCAAACAGTTTGATTACTTCCGCTTTTTAACCTTTTGTTTCCAGTGACTGCAATTTCCTTAGATCAAGGACAATACTGTAAATCATGATGTTCAGACTGAGTAGTAGTGCAGAAGGGGAGAGTGAGCTTGTTGGGGTAGTAGAGGCGCGAGCAGGAAGACCACAAGAAGAACAGAAGTCCCTTCCTCTGCTACATGCCAGAATATACACATTGTCCCTGCATAATCCCCCGAGAAATATACCTTCTCCTCAATTATATGCACACCTGCCCTCAACCAGAGGGAGAAAAAGAAGCAAACAGCAAAACTCATATAAGCTGCATTTACATACAGACAATGCAGTATTCTGAGTTGTGATGCCCAGAAATGAAAGACCCCACAGATAACAACCATACTGCCCTTCACTAGCGCAGGAGGAGAGGGGATGGGAATGGAGTGCCAGCACTGGAGAACTCCTCATCTCCAGCTGGTGATGGGGTGGGACTCTGCAGCTGCCTCCCTTAAGGGGAGTGCAAGGTGGGGTGCAGGTCAGGGTGGAATGGGTATGTCTGAGGTATGGACACTCTGCATACACTGTGGGTTGATATGCTCACCACTCTACAATGGAGGTGCTGTAGCTGATCACTGGCTGCTGTCTTCAGGGACAAAATCTTCCATTCCAATGCATTTGCACACACTTTCCTGAGCTTGTAGTCTGCTTACGTTCTGTTGGACCTTAACTGTTGGTTAGTCTTCACTTTTGAGCAGGTCTTCAAATAATGAGCTACATATGTCCCTTGTAACTCTTCATATCGTTAGAGTAACTGGCACATCCAGGGAGACCTAGGGCCATTAGTCTTACTGTAGCTATGTGGGAGAAGTGGGTAATAAATGTTGCACTCTAAATATTGCTGGCCCAAACTGCAGATTTCTAAGGTTCAGGCTTTGCGCTATATCTTTGTCTAAGAGTGCTGACATATTAGTATTAGGTACAGTTTTTTATCATGTCAGGGGTTTTTTGTATGCAATCTGAGTGAGTAATAAAATATCTAAAATGCCCAGGGAGGCATTTAGAGAGTTAAAACATGAGCAGACTTTATGCATATACAATTGAACATATTATCTTCCTCTGCAGTTGTAATTATAACAGAAAAAATAAACCTTCAAAGAAACCCAAGCACTGTAGGATATCTCAGTATTAATAGAAGCATAACAAGGACCTTTCCAGAATGGCAGATGAAAGAACAAACAAAGATTCTTTGGGCCAATGCAGTTTAAGAGTCAATAATAGGTAAGGTATGATGTGAGTAGAATACTGAGAAGCATGACAGCCACATCCAATGACAGCCACCATGCTATTGCCCATTCCAGCCTTCAAACACATTTCTTCCTTATTAATTAAAAGCTTGCCTTTGTGATTTTGTATTGGCATAAGTGCTGGTAAACACAGAATTTTGTTAAGAAGATTGCATAATTTTAATGAAAAAGTGGCCTAGTTACTTAGTATTTCACTTTGAGGAACTAGATCTAACATGTCAAAGATGAGCGATGAAGGTGATTGAGAAATTGCTGATGGAAAACTGCAGCAAGTTTGACAAAATGAAATCTTTAGGGTATGGCAGAATCTGTTGCATATGCAAAGGTTACCCTTAAATGAGATAGACAAGACCTATAGAGGACAAAATATGGAAAACATATGCTTTGATAAAAGCTCTAACGTGATTTCTTTTGCAAGCAGATTAAGAACTCAGCCAAGACAGATGAGCCTGTTCGTTGGGAGCTGACAACTTTGACAGTCCAAGTGTAAGCAGGATAAAGCAGGCAGTGAATGAAAATACTAAATTTCTAAGTAAACTACCTAGAACAAGAACACAATCTCACTTCAGGTCATTTCTCTGCACTACTAATTATCAGTTTAACAATATTTCATGACTTGAAAGCATCACAAGTTTGAAAAAAAGCAGTTTATGATAAAACAAACCAAAACAAACCATGAAATATACCAGAACAACAGATAAGAATTTTATACTCTGCTTCTTTTTTTTCAAGTTGGCTGATTCCACTTCACTTATTTTATTTTGAATTACCAGTCATTTTACAAAATAGTATGGAGCCTTAACTGGCTGAACTTTTACTGAATTAAAAATGTAGATTTTTGCTTCTGCAGTTATTCTAGTGGAAGATAAACAGGAAACAGACCATATAAAGTAGAGATGTTATATACTAAATTTGTAACTGCTTTTACAGAAAGGCACAGCACTTAAATTCTGTGACTGTCTACTTGATTTACACACATCTCAGTTGAGCACAAACTTCCTGGCATTTAGATCTATTAGGCTGAGGAATAGCCTCCTAAAAAGGTTAGAGGTACTTAAAGATAAGCTGGACAAAGCATGTGAAAACACACTGTCCATCTCAAGTGGATGATACGATGCAACAGATCTTTTATGTTACGAAGATATATAAATCTATTGCGCAGAAAGGAAAGATATTGTGCATTATAACTAGAGTTAGGTTTTCCAAAGGGAAAAAAAGTCCTGTTTGTAATCTAGAGATGGCAGGGAAGTAAAGGAGACTTTTTTCCTAACCAAAGCACAGGAATGGATCCTGATAACTGGATTCTATTTCTATTGTCTGCAAAAACTGGTACATAATCTCAGGAAGGACATTTGGCATTTTTGTGTCTCATTTTTCCATTTTCAAACAAGGCTATTATTTTCCATTAATTTCCAGAAAGGTTTTGAAGTCCAGGCCTCAAAATAGCTGTGGAAGAGGAGAAAATTATTTTCAACTAAAAGATAATCCACCAAAAAACTCTGTCTTCCCCCTGCTAGTGGCATTGGCTAAACTGGAAATTTTTCAGTTAAAAAATAAGAAGCAGGAAAGAAGGTGTATAAGCAACCTGATCTATGTGAATGCATATATAAATGTATGTTTGCACATATATATGTATACATACATATCTAAACCCATACAACTTTAAGTAATCATTTCCACAAGGTCCTGTCCAATATGCAATATGAGAGTGGAATTGGGCAAACTTTCAGCCCACAGCCCTCTCTATTAGAATTCCTTTTCCAGCAGGAAAAAGTCCTTTGACCACATTGGTCTCCCACTTGTGGTGATAAATTGCTAATCAGTGTTGGTCTAATGATTCCTTCCTGTATTCCTTAGCCATTTCTGAATTCTGGGGATTCCTGGTTGACCAAGAGACCTCGAGAACGGATATATTACAGGGAGAGGGAACCATTAGAAGTTTGAATTTCAGAACTGGGGGAAGGGAAAAAAGATGCTATAAATTGTATTTTGAACTCTTTCTCTCTGTACAGGAAGGTCACAGTTCACTGCAGTATTAAACTCTGAATGTTTGAGATGCTGACACAGTCCATTTAGTTTCATAACATATTAATTTGGAAGCTGTGTGAAGATTTAGCTGTATGAGTCTTTTAACTGATGATCCTGAAAATATCCCTTAAATAGTTCTTCCAGAATGCGAACAGTTAGCCAGTGGGACAATTTCTACTTGCCTTTTTATTGTTAATAAATCTACCAAATCCTCTTACCTGTGTTGCAGGTGCAAGTTCTAATTCTGATGTTGAATCAGAGTCCAAAGCACTCTTGACGTTAGTCAGCTCAGACTGTGATCTGTTTTCTGTGGACCTAGAAATAATGCATTTCCATACTCATCACAGCACACTAAGACATGCTGCCTTATGTCTTTCAGGTTCATAAGCACATACTGACTAATTAGGTAATTTCCTTTAACAGAATTGTTTAATTTGCAGTTATCAAAAGTGCCTGGACCCTTCCCAGTGGTCCCACTTTTAGGCTTTTCAGTCACTTGCAGACAATAGTTAATACAACAGAACAGAGCCAGGCCAGTAGAGCCTTAGGTATGTACTGGCACGAAACCAGTATAATGGAATGAAGACTTTGCCTCTGCCACTATGCTTCTGTTTCATAGCCAGGCAAAATGATGTTAGACAATGACATAAGACTGTACCTGCAGTCAGCATCTAAGAATCAACCACATTACAAGACTTCACCCTGGCATATGTGCATTCTTCTGCCACAATATCCTAATATGATTACTTCCTAGAAAATGAAACTCTGGAGACCAAAGTCAAGTTAACTGAGCAAAAGTTCTGTAAAGCTCTAAGTTAATGAAAGACACAGATAAAGGCCAGGTTAAGATACAGGATAAGCATCATTTGGTCAGAAAACTGCTTTTAGTGTATCAAAATGCTAATTATGGTCATGCATAATGTAGTGAATGACTGTTGCTTCCATATCAAGAAGGCAGCAGAATTAATCTACATGAACTGTTCCCAAACACAGTCTGATTCTTCCCTCATTTACATCCCCTGCAATTTTAGTTGAACTGCATGAAAGAGGTAGTTCTTGGCTGGCTATTTTATCTTCCCTCTTCCAGATATACACAGAAATTCTGCCCTCTTAGTAGCAAAAACAAAATACACTGGATATCCGGTGACTGTCAAATCACTGCCAAATATCCGTTTTTACTCATTTTATTCACATGTTTGTAGCTGGGTTTGGATCACTGCATGCCTCTGTAGAATTCTCACCACCACTTATTTAGTAGTTGCACCTGCTACTTTTCACAACATTAAAAATTGCTGGCAAAATGTCATTTTATAGTGTCCTTGCTTATGATACCTTGTCCAAAACGTCTGTTTGAACACATTTAATGTGAACATAACAGATTTAATAATATGACTTGTCATTAAGCAAGCATTTCTGTAAATTAAGAGAGCTAGACTGGAAATGTTTTTGTAAGGAAAGCAAAAAGTTGTACCATAAAAGCTCTTTTGATGGAGCTCTAGATGATGATGATGTTCGCTCTGTAGAAGGGTGGACCTTGCTACTCCTGTCTCCGTGAAAATTGACATCATCCCATTTCTCTATCTGTGTCTGAATATCAACTGAAAAGTAAGAAAAGAAAATATTAATCTTTTAATGAAACTACTGCAGAAAATTTTATCTCCTTTGTTAAATGTAGGTTATAGTGAAAATGGTGCCACCAAAGACTATATTTTAGTCAAGGTCCAATATACAGAAATGTTGTGCAACTTTCTAGCTGATATTCTGTGAAAATAGTTGGGAATTCACAACATTTTTCTAAATCTATTAGCATTCATGGTCAGAATGTCAGTGAAACTCTCAGCTTAAAATCAGTGATTTGTATCTGTTGATAAAATTATATTAAGTATTTGATAGTTTTGAATATTTTTTATTTCCTAATTGTAGTCAAATCATAAAAATAAAACTCCCTTTAGTGACTACCATTTAAAAATGACTGTGTAGGCAATTGATATTATTCAGTCATATGTCAGAGTTGCTTTGCAAAAATGAAATGTTCGGCTCCTGTTTGAAGACAAAGTTCTCTCAAAAAATTTCTGTGCTGATGAATGGAAAATTTGCTACCTCAGTATAAATTGCATTTACCTTGCAAATTTCTCAGGTGCAGTGCAAGTAATTTAGTTTGGATGGAACTAAATTAAATTCACCTTTTCCAAAGCTCATCTACAGATCATGCTTGGCAGATATTGAGTTGTGCTTGGGATTTTTTTTTCAGTCTATACAAATACAGCTCTTTTGTCAAGAATGGCTTTCTTTCCCTCTTGTATGCATAGAAAAAGCAGTGTTTACAAATCTAATGTGTATTTCTGACATCTGCAGTTCTGAAAAGGACATCCAGTACGGGCTGCCTCTGATTTGTGTGCTTTAACAATTTCCCATGATACCCCTATAAATTTTTCTACCGTTTTACTGACCCTGACTAAATTCTTTTTTGAAGGAATCCTTTCAAAACTTTATTTGCACATTTAGTGACAACTTAGTAGGTACAATGGCAAAGGCAAAAGCAAAATATGTTTACAGTGACAAAGTGTTTCAAGTAGTTTCTAATGTGGAACAAAGGTTACGCTCCCTGCTAAAATGCAGTGCAACAAAAATTCTGGTGTTGCTCATTGTTTGTGATAGCAGCAAGGAGAAACTTGTGCTAAGCAAGGCTATGCAGCACTAATAAAATAGCTACACTCACCTAAATCTAGAGAAGACTTGTCTGAAACTCTGACAGCCTGGACTTTCTGCTCAGTATCCACACTGATAAGGTCAGAACTGTCTGTCTTCTTTCTGTGGGTTGAAGCTTTTAACCCTTCAGTTCTTGATGGAGTCTCTGATTTCTTTGCTTTGTTTTGGGTTTGTAAGACAGGTTCACTAAGATCCAAGAGATCCAGACCTGCTGATAATACTTAGAGACAAAATGTTAGAATTCAATGTTGTTGTTTTAATTCAAATAACTCACTTACTAAAATTTGTTTTAATTGGAAAAAAATTATTAATGTAGTTGCATTTGACTAGAGTAGATATATATTTCCTGGCTAAAGATGATGACCAGCATATTCAAATATGACTAGGGATTTCAGGCGCTTAAACAGATGCAGTTTAAAAAAGCTTGATTTGTATAAAAGGCTTTTCCTCTGAAAATCTTGAAGATATCTTAGGTCTTAAGGCTGTGGCCTTACTCCAGCTTTTCTTATGTTGTGAGGGTTCCATGTGAGCTTTTAGATAGGATTTGGTTTAATCTTATGATTTATCTAGTACTGGTAACAGCTGCTTAGGGCACTACTGTTGTGCCACGTGCCATTATGGAAAAAGCTGAAGAGTAGACAGCTTCTTGGGTGGACTTCTTGGGTCATAAAGGAATAATGGTAGGTTTAGTAGTGGTTTCTACTGTTGTTGCTGTTTATCTTTTGGGGGATAAATATTGAATTATAAATTCTACTGCTATTTCTGTTAAGGACTATATCAGTATAAAAGGCACATTCAGTTCGAGTTCTTTATTTAAAAGTTGCTTAAAAAGTAACATTTGAAATTCTTCAGCACATAAAAGATAGAAAAACTACGTCTTTATCAACATTTTATAGAGAAGGTGTTTTTGACAGATCAATTAGTGTTATCTCTTGCAGTGCTTTATCTGTGTTCTTGATAAATCACTGAATTTCATCAATCTTCATAAAAGAAGAAATGTTCATTTTCTTATTAAATAAATCAAATTAACCCACCTGAATCTGATTGATAGATATTCAAGGCAGATATAGGATCTACAGATACTTATTCTTTTATAAGAAACACCATTATTAAACAACCTGAAATATTTCTATTCATCCCTATAATATCTTTAGATATATATAAAAGGAAAAAATATTATTTACAATTGTTATTTAATTCAGTGTTCCAGTTTTTGTTATTATAACTTGCATACTGCTTTAGACACATTAATTACATGTGAAGATAATCATCCAGCTGTTAATTATTCATTTTAATAATTTGCATGTATATAGATTTTAATTAAATGGCTTCTAACAAGCCAATTCATTTTATGAGATAGAAATATATACTGTAGTGCTATGCTGATTTTACTGTATCTGTTGATCTGCTCAACCGCTTTGTTTACCTTTGAACATATACCAAATAGGAAGAGGCCAATTTCTAAAAACACTTCCAAAGGACAATATACTTAAAAAACAATGCAATATAATTCAAAAGGCTTTCAGGATTCACTCTTACTTTTTATTATCTGCTCTACTGTCTCACTGCAGCACAAAAGAGCTAAGAAATGTGTTAGATCCTTTCACTAGCAAAGTTTCCGAACTCAGTCTGGATAAACTGTTTTGATATCTCTTCCCTTCTCTCTGACATCCCATCCAAGTTTTTATTAAAGAAAGTCTTTCTAGAGCAAGGAATGGGTTTGGATCAAACCAGGCTAAATGTAGCTTACCCATAGGTTAAAATTTTACAAAACCAAAGACTGAGAATTGATCAAACTGATATATGCCTCCTGTTGAACTTAAACAAGTTCCCTTTAATTCAGCCCCAGAGATCTGCTAGAATACATGTGATGTGGATCACATCGATTTGCCCTCAAATGTAACAAAGTTTTTTCTACTACTAGATCAGGAAATTATCATTTAATACCAGCTTGTAATCTTGTGCAAATAGTAACAAATCAACAAATCACTTGACAAAAATGTACCATAATTAAGATAATACTAAAATTATTTCTCGCTAGAGAAGGATAGTAAAGAATTTCGTTTACCTGCAGTATTTGATGTTACAGGCCTTGCAACAGCTTCTGGTTTAGCTTCACAGAGAAAGTCATCAATAGAGGGGCTCAGAAGGGGTCTGCTTTCTTGTTGCTCATTCACCAGCTAGCGACAAAAAAACCCAGGGTCACAGAGTGTTGTTGAGCAGCAAAATTTAAAGAAATAAAACATATTCTCACAATATAATGTGCTTTATTTTTGATTGTGAGAGAGTAAGATATTGCAATTAGAAGATGTACAAATAGCTCTGGGCTTAAAATAAAAAACTTTAGTCACTCTTTTGGGGCAAAATTATATTCTAGTTTTACAAATTGCACAAAAATAAAGCAGCAAGGTGATTTTTCCATTGAAATTATTGCATACTATTGCTTATAGGGCTAAAGTATACAAGGCCTGATGTAACTCCATTCAAATCAACAGGTGAAGTTGGCCTTCTCTATCACCAGAAGACTAAGCAGGGCTTTTTTAGTATTTGGAAGTGGTTGGTTGTTTCACCAGTAACATCCCTCCCCACAGAACTTGCACAATACCATTTCATCTAGCAAATATGCATTAGCCCATTAAACAATAACCTGCTGAGACAGAAAACACTTCTCTGCAATACAAAGACATATGAATGACAGTGGATGGAGCCTGGTGAATGCATGAACTTCCTGCATGAAGTATGCATGTATGAACTTCCTGAATGTATGAAGACTCACAATAGTTTTTATTTATGAGCAGTTTTCCTTTTTCATTGTAATTGCATGAATGCATTGTTTTTCTGCTACCTAAAGGAAATCTCTATATCACAGGCTATTTCATGTATTAGGGATTAAAAAGACAAAACAGTAAAACAGCCTCATAAATAAAAGTCTCCTCTCTGCAATCTATCTCTGATTGGAGGATCAAGACCTAAGCTGAGCTGGATGGATGTTTGACAATGTGGCCTGCATTTACTTTATCTTTAATAATGTAAAAGCATGTTTCCCTCTGTCTGTTGCTTTCATCTGGAGCTGTTTCAGCGTTACTTTTATCCTCTCTTCTCTCCTCTTCATTCTGTTCTCACTCTTTTTCCATTGTTGAATTTTCAAAATTTTCTCTCAGATATAGTTGAACTTTTAAATTTAGGATGCTAACATGGACAAAAACTGGCAAAAAAGGTGTTTACTCATCCTCATTTTAGGTTTGTTAATTACTGGCATTTAGCTACTCCAGTAGCAAGATGATCTCTAAAGTTACTACAGCAAAACATCTTAGATTCACTGCTGTTCAGTACTTGATTTCTGTATTACAACATTGCAAGAAAATAGCAAAGCTATTGAAATAAAAAGTCCATTATTTTGATGGATCGAATATTTAAGCTGGTACCTAATGCCAATTGACTGTATAATATGTGCACTTATTCATTTGCCCAGCACCTTACAGTTTTGCACCGCAATACCAATTTACATGAATAAAATGGAAGACAGATGAGTGATTGCCTGCCCAACTGTGTGTAGCAGAATGTGCAAATGCAGGCACTTAATTTAGAAATCTGGGAATGATACTGTCCCAAACTCTAATTCTACATATGCTAAACCCATATGCAAATGCACCTTACAGATGACTTAATCATGTAGGGTTTTAACTCTCCAAATTGTTTGTCCAGGTTGCTGTCTTATTTAACACACACAAGTTACTTGCTTAATTTGGTAAATCTCAACACTTGACTGGAAATTGCATTTATACCAGCTTCACACGTTTGATTTCCATTAAAGGTAGCTCTACAGTACCAACATTATCTCCAGGAATATACTTTTACCTAATACTAATTTTTAAGACTGAAGAGGACCGTATTTTTCTGTTTATGATTTGGTCCTTACTCATTTCTATTGGTGAAAAAAAGAAGGTGGATGCCTAATTAATTCTTGTCCAAATAACTTAATATTTTAAGTTTCTTTATGATCAAATCCAGATACCAGCAAAAATTGCTTGAATATATTTTTCTTTTTGCATTTACACATCCCATTCTAGGAACTAGCGTCAGCAGCAACTGCTGTACTTTTGCAACAAGTTGCATATTTGGGTGAACATAGCATCCAGCAGAAAGATTGTCAAAGCCTCTGGATCAGCTGGATCTTCAGTGATCTATGCTGTGATATGCTAACAACATAAAGAAAAGTCCTATGCCATTTGGAGGGGGACAGGAGGGAAGAAGAGATTCTGTAGGAATAACTGTAAATGTGAAAACTTCACAGAAAATACTCTGTTTCTGTACCTATACAAGTGTATCAATAGGGTACTTTATTGCATAAGATTTGGATGCTTATCAAGTTTTCCATTACATTCCATGGGAATTTTCTTTAATAGGAAAGATGGGAGCAGGAGGGAATGAAGAAAGATTATGAGAACCAAGACAGCCAAGATCACTCACTGAAGCTAGTGAAGAATAGAAAACCTGAAGACCTACTGGAAAGGCAATTTATTGCCCAAACCTGCTGCAGGGGTAAGCGGATAAACTCCGGGAGGAGCAGCAGTAATGCTGAGAATCAGAATCATGGAGGGGAAGGAGACTAGAACCAACTAAGATTTGAATTTCTCCAGGGTTCAAGTGAAGTATGAAGTAGCAGATGTCTGGCAAATATGTTTTTCTTTTCAAAGCTGGTTATCACATCCCTAGAAATTTCTTCATTATGTTGTTTATATAAGGAAGACCTGTTCAGCAACAGGCCTTCATTAGTTTGATACCAGCAGTGTATTGTTCAAAGTCCCTTGATAAAATTCTACCATCAAACTGAAAGAAGATTGGTGGTAATATCCACTTCATCAATTTTGCCAGCAAATACCAAGATTTAATTTTTATTAAGTTGTGTCTTCTTTCTGATGCATTTGCAGCATTTTTGTTTAATTACAAAACAAATAGGTTCCTCTTCTCTGAATCTCTTTGTGAACATATACACTAAATTAATCAGAGATGGGCCACCCAAATGATCAGAGGAATAAAGAACACATTTTACAGGGATACTAAAAGACTTTGACTTTCTTAGGCTAAAAAAATTAAGATTGAGTTGGAATATGATTATTTTTCATGTATACATACAGGGAGAGTGGGTAGATGACATTGGAAGAAGAAAGTTATTTCAGCTATTGAGAAAGGCTGGCACAACAACAGAGAGATCTAAACAGGCCATGAATAGATCTGGTCTGGGAATTAAAAGAATCTAACTGTCACAGCAGTGAAGTGTATGAACAGCATCCTTTTTAGGGTAGGGGGACAAAAAGCCTACCTATTTAAAATGGCTTTTGACAAGCTTTCTACATGTCTGTTTATAGTGTGATTGCTTTTGAGAAGTGGACTGTGGCCCAGAGGATTCCTTCCAGTCCTGTGTCCTATGCTCCCATGACCAAGGAGTGGAAGCTGTAGGAGTGTCTTCTTAAAAGGTTTGTTCCTGTGAAAAATAATCTGCTTTCAACTGAAATATCTGGGTCAAAACAGACATTATCAAGTCTACTAATTCTCAGTAAATACAAACTACATATGTATAGCAATAGAACATATTAGAAAAATATGTTTTTGTCGTGAAGCTGACGTTTCATGATGAATCAAACCTTAACATTAAAGAATGCCATGAGCAGCTATTTTTGCTGTAGGTAAGCGGGCAGTGGGGTAGGTTTCTGACATGACTCTGTATGCAATGCCACTTGGGAAGTCCTCAGTCTCATACTTTGAATTTAATTTTGCTGCCTCATATATTGTACCAAATTTATCCCTAGTTTAACTCTCCTCAAGTTATTAGAGTTATATCAGGCATGAATTTGGAGTAGTACTATAAAACATTCATGAGATGAAAACTATTATCTATATTAAAGTAATAATTTATGGTTCTCAAGCACCTTTCAGGGTGAACATCACAGAATGCTTTAAAACATTCATGAATCAAGCCTGGCACCACCGCAGAGCTGAGAAGTATTATCTCTATATTGCAGACGAGAGAAGCAAAGCGAAATTAAGAAAGCATCCCAACATCAGCCTGCGCTGGAGGAAGCGGCACTGGGAGCAGGAGCCTGGCGGCTGGCGCTGCTCCGTGTTTATGTCTGCAATATTTGTACACACGCCAAGCGCTATATACTCAGCCTGTGAAACTGTTGATTTCTGAGTGCTAATTTAGCCAGTGAGTGCCATAAATTCTCATAATGCCTCCAAGAACTTAATTTTTCTCTATAAAATCCATTTTAATTAAAGAAAAAACCTGCATATTCCTTTTAGTGAAGGATATCTAAAATCTGCAGAGGGTGACACTCCCTATTGCCAATACATCTGAAGAGACTCATCCAGAGTATAAAATACTGCCAAATTAAAATGAATTTTCTGTGACTGACTTCTGCTGTTGGACAGCACCACAGCAAAAGGCGCTTTTTCTCCCCCCAGTACTGCTATTGGACTTCTTTATTCTAAAAAGCATATATATGGAGTTTGTCAGTGAGATACCAGGTAACTCAAAAGTGTCCTCTGATAGCTAAGATCAGCCCCACTGTTTAAATCTACTCAAAGCAAGCATTATTTAGAAGAGATATGAGACAAGGTGCAGAGGCAAGCTCAGACAGCGGCTATGCCAGAAGCCATGTCAGCCATGTTTGCCCTCAGTACCCTGGGCTACAGGACTGCCTAATCTGCACTGAGGAGAACCACCTGGCCTCCATTTTATGTGCCCTGTCATCCACCCCCTCCCCAGCTGTCTGCATTTATTCAGCTTATGTAGCTTACTACTTGCAGCTGCCTTTGCTGTTGAATTTTTGTTTCCCTAGTGGTCTCTATACTGCCTCCAGAGCGGCTGTGAGAAGAAGAGGAGGGAGCTTGTGGTGGTTCTCCCTCTGGGTGCTTCTCAGGCCTGAAGGGTAGGTAGGAACTAAATTAACTATGCTGGAGAAACTGGTTTGGGGTCAAAAAAATCAAACCCTATGCAGGTCTGGGCATAGGTGTGTTGGGGTGGGAGTGGAGATCTTGCTGTGGAAGAGGTGCAAGTGGTGGCTGCCTGAGAGGAAGCAGCAGCCATGAGAGGGCTTTCTTCCCTCTAGCTAATACCCAGCTTGGTCTCAGCTTCCCTCAGTCACCTACCCAGCATCTTTTCCTCTGCCATGCAGCC